CAATGGTGATCAGTGAGCAATGACATGTCATTGCTTAATGAGTTGTGAAGAGAACAAGATCCCAGTTGAAATTCAAGCCCCTGTTCAACCAGATGGATCAATCTTTTTTCGGGAGGCATGACTGTTGTGGGAAACAGTCCCTGCAATTCTTCTAGTAGCTTTGTCCTTAATTTTATTTTCATTATTTCTGGACCTGACTCCCCTGAGACAACCTGTTGTGAAGGTGATATAATACAGAATGAAAGATTGCGGACTCTATCGCTATTTATGCAAAGAGGTGCAATTTCAGTCCTCAATGTCTTCAAAGCATCCATGACTTTTTCTCTGTCTAACAGTTCAAAGAACTTTTGCTCCAGTATCATAAAAGATGCCAACTTCACAATTTTTTCATCCACAAGACCAATTTTATGCAATGTGGCTATACTTTCATCCCATTTCCCATCAAGGATTTGCTGCATAAATAAATTTACTAGAGAGGGGTGCAAAGGTATGCCTGACTCTTCCTCTAGTTGCGCCCCCGCCTTCTTATAGCCAAGAGAATATAACGTCTCGGTTATGATCTGAACTAATTCAACTTTCTTGACTACTCCTTTTCTACCAACAACCTCATCGTCCCCTTGAATTTCCAGAGGACAAACCATCAAGTCACTCAATGGGGAACTTACAGGATCCCTAAGAAATGTCCCGTTCGAACGATCTGCTGATTCTCTAAATGATACTTTCACACGTTTTGAGAGTGGTTCATCATCCTCTGCGCCTCCCATGAAATATATATCTCAGCCCATATATAACAGCAGATGCATAAACAGATCTGAGAGTTGAGATCACGATTTCAATACTTCAAAGGAAAAAAACACGACAACCTGCATAACACCAGGAAAGGAAAGAACATACAATTAATAAAGTTGTAAAGAGCATAACAAGAAAAAAACTTAAATAGAGGTTACTTGCTTTAACGAATAGAAGATATGAAAATGAAATAGAGAAGAAGACGGAGGCGGAGAGGTCGAGGTAGAGGAAGAGGGAGATCGGTGCGGAGAGGTAGAGGTGAAGGTAGAGGAAGAGGGAGACAGGGGCGGAGAGGGAGAGGTGAAAGACACAAACTGATCTAACAAGAGTAAAGGTTAAAAGTCTTCACATACTATTATATACTAAACATTTTTGTTTGAATGCACTCTCAAGACCTAAATTAGTTAGACTCGGGTGTGGATATTCAATACTGGTGCGAATCTAAAGGTCATATTCTTCATCACATAAATTTTGGGATTGGGGAATACTAATTCGAATGTGAATATGGGTGTCCGGACAATAAATGTATACTATAACATACAAAGTATATATCTCGATTAATTAAAGCTGTGACACCGAAACTAATACATTAATTCTTTATAAACACCTAATTGTTTTTATTTGTAAAATATCTCGCATAATAGCAAAGCATTTTCATGCTTTATGCAACTATATATATATGTCATAAACCCAAAATTCGAGCCAAATACCTAATCAAACTATACTTCTCGGTCATAGATGTAGTCAAATCACCCAAGGTAAGTTTACCAAATCAAGTGTAGATCCCACACCCATGTCATGCCGACACGGGTGCCAAATCTGCCAGTTACAAATGGTATCTTATGTATCCTCGGAGAAAATTAGCGACCAGAACACCGCTGTCCGCGAGAAAAATTCCTCATTCTTCTAAGGATCTTAGAAAAACGGGGTTGTTTTAAGAGCTCCCCATCATTGCCTAACCCCACAGAAGTTTGCAACTAAGCAGTTTCACTAAATAAAATGCAAGATCAAAAAACTTTTCCTGACCCTACAAGGAGATGCGAAACTAAGGCATGTGTTTGAGAGTGTGTCTGCACACACACAAACACACAAGTTATCCTTTCATCAAACTTTGTCATCAGTGTCTCCTCCTCACTTCATATCCTCAGTAGGGCTAATTGATGCTTAAGTTACACCATACAAGATGTTAAACTATCTATCTTAAAAGAATAGTTAAAGAAAACATCCGAAGTTTATTAGCCACTGTCAACTTGTTAGGTCATTGCACAGCGACTAACAATAGTCTAGTCCGCCCATGCAAAGAATGACTTGAGGACACAAAATACACCCACAATGAGCTGGAGTAGTTAACAATATCTCTCACATTTGAAATGCAGAACTTTACACGAGTTGGCTGCACACCAGAATCAATATTCCTACATGCTGCACAACAAAAGCCATACCCTACATCATTAACAAAATTATGTTGAACAGTTTTGAGCAGAAGAAGGTCAAATGTCTTCTAAAAATGGTTGAATGCCATCTAGAAGATTAACCTGTTAGAGAGATGACATTTTCCTTCTTCTTTTCTCAATAAGACCTGCAACACGGTCAATCATGGGTAGAAATGATTTTCTTTCCTTATGCCAAGTAGGTAAAAACATGTTTTATTTATGAGAGCCAGACAGGCTTGAATTCATGAGCTCTGCTTCCTTTGATACCAAGTTGAAGTGTGTGTGCCGCCTCTTAAAAAAATGAGATCATCTAGACTGGGCTTTTGTATGTGTCTATTTATGTTTGCAACGATGATTAACAATGACAAATTTTCAATAGTTATGCTCCTCTAATTTCCAATTGCATCTAGTATCGCATGCTAAATAACTTAACTTCCACTCCACTTGAAGGTCAAAACATAATGCACACCAGCAACTACTATGGCTAGTGATCCAACTATAGAAATTTGATAAGTAACTAACCAAATAATCCAACAACAGATTTAAGTGTTACTTCATCAAACTTAGTGCGATCTATGGTCAGAAAAGGCCCTCACATTGTAATGTCTAGTTCATTAAGGTAAATCAGCTGCTAGAGGCGGAACTAAGATTAGCCTCTAAATCCACTCTTGTGAGCTGCTAGGAGAAGACTTTAATTTACTATTATGCCTCAATCTGGAACTAAGTGTTCACTTCATTAAACTTAAAGCAATCTATTGTCAGAAAAGGCCAACACATTGTAGTTTCCAGTTCATTAAGGTAAATCAACTACCAGAGACAGAACCAAGATTGGAAATTTATGGGATTATACTGAGTATGTTGTTGTTATCGTCTTAGCAGAAGCTACTAGTTCACGTGAAAAGACTTTAATTGACTATTACACCCAATCCTCAACTAAAAAGGATCGGCTTTATGAATCCTCTCTATCCATTTCGCTCCCTTCAATCCCATCTCTATGACATTACTGAGTAAACGGTTTGTTCCGAGCTAATACATAAACACATTTTACTATATACAAACTCCTCAACTTCCTAATAAGCATAAACAATAGTATCTAAGTTCTTCAAAAGCATAATCATTTTAATTGATAAGCAGATTACAACAATCAATTAGTAAATAAAATAAAAAGCCAAATGACAAATAATCATTAACTTCCAATGAATAAATTCAAACATATAATAAATACTTACAGTTACACCAAACTCCCAATATCAATAAATTAAGAATCAAACAAAACACAAATAAATATATATAAAAAAATAAAAAAATATTACCACAACAGTATATCAATAGATTCGCTTGAAATCTCCAACACCCAGAAATTAATTAACGCTTCAGATCAAAATGGGTTTACAAAAACAGAAAAAAAAACTGATTTTGTAATCGATATTACCCAAAACCAATAAAAAAATATTTTAAAAAATTTACAAAAAGTTGTACTTTTCTCCCTTATTTCTCGGTATTTAGATGAGTAACCAAAATATGGATACAAAGAGGTAATATGAAGATAAAAAAAAAAAGAGAATTATGACTGACTGTTCGAAGCTTTTGTTAATGGCGGTTTCAGTTGAAGGGCATATTTCGTTGTGAAGAAAAATGGTGGAGAAGGTGACTTAATTTTATTTTTAGTATAATATATTTTTTGCTATATTTTCACATTTTTTTTCCGAAAACAAACTTTTTATCTTCATAAAAATAAAATAAAAACAATGAATATACCCTATCTTCTCAAACTTTATGTATGAAATTTCACTAAGTATATTATCTCGATAACTTATGCATATCAAAAATAAATAAAATTTTGATAGAAATGTGCAAAGAAAATAAAAATAAAAGTTAATATATCAAATTAAATATATTATTACGATAATTTATGTATATTAAAATAAATAAAATATTAATAAAAATATTCAACGAAAATAAAAAAATTTAAATTAAGTCGAAATAAAGATACTAATAATTTAATTTAATTTGATATTTTAAAAAAAGATATAACTTGATGTTAATTAAGAAGTCAAATTAAAATCAAATGAAAGAAATATTATACTTAGAGATTTATTTTCTAGATTTTACATAATATGATTTAATTTAAATTATGTTTATTTTCATTATTTTTTGTTCATTTTATATATTTCATAATTTTTATTTTTGATAATGTTATATATTTTAATATAATATCATGATTTGTTTCATATTTTATATTTTCTCAAGAGAAATATTAAATTATTATTATTTAAAATAAAAAATATATATTAAAAAGAACTTAAATAAAAAATTTTGATCAAATTCAATATTTGAATCGAATATAAAAATTAAAGTGAAATCAAGATTAAAAAAATTAAATTTATTCATTTGATTAGAGTATAGATTATTTCGAAATGCGTTATTTTTAAAATTATTTGCTAATTCATCTTGGATATGAAATGTTCGTTCGATTAAAAAAGTGTGAATAAGTTATATTGATATAAGTTATTTTATTTTGAATATGTGAAATATAATATTAAATGACTAAAAATGAACACGTAAAAATAATACGAAAAGTATTAAATACTTAAAAAAAGTAGTCAACAAAATTATTTTATTGTTAATTTCTGATTTTCCGTCGAACTTCCATTGTTTCCTCTTATGAGAAGCGCCGGAGATCGGAGTGTCGTTTTCCGGGCACATTCTCTCTCTACATTATAGGTATTTTCTCTCTCTAAAATGTAGCAGGGCATTGGGTAAAGTTAATTCATTTTTTGGCTTATGTGTAATTCGTTTCGATTTCTTATAAATGATGAATTTTAGCTTTGTTTCCTAAATTGGGTTTGATTTGAGCAAAATGAATAGTTAATTACAAGTAAATTTGGGATTTTGAATGAATTGGGATTGATTAGAGCAAAAAATGATTTAATGGATGTTTCATTTGTTAAAATTGATTGGTTAATTGATGGATAAATATGAAAGCTCGGGGAAATCGTAGTAGCTCAGTTGATTGACTATGTTCATTTTCACCTCGTTGGTGAAAGTTAGATTCCCCCATCCCAACCCCCATTTTTATAAAAATAAAATATGAAAGCCTATGAATTTCTTGTGTTTTTCAACTGTAAGATGTTCTAAATTTGATACATTTGGAACAGAATTGTCAAATCTTGGAAATAAAGGAGGAAAGAAATGGGTGTGAAGCAAGCATTAAGAGCTATTGATGCATTTCCGCGAGCTGAAGAACATTTGTTGCTGAAAACCAAGTTTGGCGCCTTTGGTATTTGATCTTAGTCCTTTTTATTTTTGTGCTTTTTCTTTTGTTTACAAAATTGGCCTGCAGTGAGTGGAATGAATAAAGATGATTCTTATAGCTAACCTTAACTAATGTGAGAATGAGGAATAGTTTATTCATTCTCACTATCCGTTCGTAATTGTTTTTAATGAGATAGGCTTGCTTCTAGAATTCATATAGCTAAAAAGGAAAGACTGGTGCACAATGCATCCCGCATTAACAGGTAAGGGTCGCATCCCAAGGGATGTGATGTAGACAGTATCAGTGGTTGGTTCCACGACTTCATATAGCTGATCCAATCAATTTGGGATTGAGGCATAATTGATCAAAAACATTAAGTCTTGAAAGGTTTCATTTACCCTTGTGAGTGGAATGAATAGAGAGGAATCTTGTAGCCAACCTTGCCTAATGTGAGAATGAGGCATAGTTGATTGATTCTCTGCATTCTTAATTGTTTTTACTGTGGTGGGCTCGTTCTAGAATTCATATAGAGGTATAAGTGATCAATTCCATGTATTCAGTCTTACTCTTCTATTCACTTTATGTGGGAACCTAGGAATCGTTTTGTATTTATTTGGATGATCATGAGCTAGTTTCTATGTGATCATCAAACTTAGGAAATGACTATAAGAGAATATTTTTAAGCCTTCGAATAAAGTAGTAACCTTTTTCTTTGTATGATTGCTGTTCAGAAATTAAATGTCTTGAAAAGTTCTATTTATCCTTGTGAGTGTTAGTTACAGTTTCACCTTTATGCTTTGGCCATCTTTGATTTCTTTCTCTTTGGTTCTTTAGTTTTTGATAATAGAATTCAGATGACATGATTTGCGACTACTCTTATTCTATAAAATATTCTCATAGCAAAACATTTGAACTTAAATCCAACACTTATTTAGTGCACTCTTGGCTCATTGTTAGAGGATGGGTTTAATTCTTAATTACACTACCATCTTCATCAAGTATAGGTGTTTTGGTTGATATTGGTTTGAAGGGGTGCATGCTTGATAGTTGTGGAGAACAGGCGAATGATGTGTTCATCAATTGTTCTCTCTATTATCTAGAGTATAGACTTGAAATCAGGCACTTTACGTTCTAATTTCTCAAATTCATTCCTCCTACTAGAAAGTAGAAACCATATGGCCTTGTCCCACAAGCACTGGGCCTTGTTCTTGCTCTACCGTCGATTTTCCTCCACAGATTCCTTGCCAGAGTATTATTAGGTGGATATGGCGTATGGAACCACTTGCTTCTGAGCAATTGGCTTGATTCCAGTACGCAATCCATTGAACATCAACTGAGGAAGCTAATCCCAAAAGAATGACAAAATCAGTTGGATATTGGAGATGTTTTAGGTAGATTTATTCATCAGATATTGGAACTCGTTTGATATGTAACTATTCATGTTCTACAGATGAGAGTATTAAATATTTTAATTACTGGCTTTTCTTAGTCACTAGATGACCATGACACTTGATTATTGTTGAATAGCAGAACTTCCAATCCTTATCTGCCACCCTCCCCAATTGTTTTTCTCATATTACCATGATGATTGGAATGTTAATAATAGAAAAAGATAGCTATTTCGCAAGTAATAGATTACGAGAATGCAACCTATTGATGGTGAATGTCATACTATTTATGTGGATGAAAAGTGAAGTTGATCTTTACTTGATTGGTGCTAAATGCTACATATTTGTGTGTTATCTGTGTTACCTAAAACCGAGCTTTACTGTGACATATCACAGGCAATTCTCTCTAACATCTTCATTGATTTAGAATTACTTTTGAATGAACATTTAGAAGATTTCTCGCTTATTTTGTGTCTGTATTTTACTTGAGTTTGATTCCTTTACTAACTTTACTCTTTCTTCTTTTTCATTACCAGTTTCCATTGTGGGGCTGCTAATTATGGTAACATTGTTCTTGCATGAACTTAGTTACTATCTTAATATATATACTGTTCATCAGGTAGTTTACATCTCTTTGATGAAATCTTCTTCAGTTAGCTTAGTCTATCTCATTTAAAGTTTGTGCTGTGAATTTCGTCTGTGCAGATGTCTGTTGACTCGAGACGTGGAGAAAATCTTCCCATTCACATAAATATGACATTTCCCTCTCTACCTTGTGATGGTAAGTCAATATTCTCTACTTGCTGTCCGATTTGTTATTTGTGAATATTTCTTACATAATGTTTCGGCAGTTGATCAATTTATTCTTTTCGGTAGTTCTTAGTGTGGATGCTATTGATATGTCGGGGAAGCATGAAGTAGATCTTGATACAAACATATGGAAGGTAATTGGTCTATTATGACTAATAACAAATTTTGCTGCTCATTGAACTGAAAACTAAACGATAATCTTTTGTACTACAGGCACAGAACATCACATAACACGGTTAGATCGTTACGTGTTTTAGTAAATTGTGTTTCTTACTAAATAAAAAGAGACTAGGATCATAATGTTAATGTTGTTGGATTCTAGTTAAAGAAACTTTTATGCCTTAGACTAAGTTTTATGGGATGAATCAATTTGTTATAATGTTATCAGACCTACAACAGTCAACACCATTGTTCTGGTGCCTTTCCAGTCAAAAGTATTGTTAACATAACATTTATTTCTAGTTTGTCATATAGCAATTGTTTTTCTACATCTTTTGAGCGTGTCAGGGAAATGGAAGAAGAAAAGGATTGCTCTGTTTTTACTATACTTTTGGGTTTCACTTTTGTTTTTGTTTGTCTTCTTCTAAGAATGTTCTAAATTTGCTGGTTATCTAGTCATTTGTTCTTTTTGTGTGTGTGTGTGTCTGTGTGCGGATGGGTGGTGGCCGGAGGGGGGAGTTTGATTTTATTGTATCCAAAACTTGCAATCTAGTCATCAGTACTATATAGTAAAAATTTAACAAACATAACATTTCTCCAGTTTTGATGGTTATGACTTGCAGCATTGCTTGTGCATGCTTCGATTGTGGGTAAGATACTTTGATGCCAATTCTAGTTTGTCATAATTACTTATCCTCATCCTCTGTTACAATTTCAAAATTACTTATCATCATCCTACCTTCTAAAGTGGATCTTTATATGCTATTGATACTATAAGAAAAATTCTCTGTATCTTAAAAGCCAAAAGAAAAAGTTAACTAACACAAAAGAGATGTAGGTTAAAAAGATGGACATTTTAACTTTTCTTGTATTTCCCGTTAACAGTTCATATAAAAAATGCAATGCTCACAATGTGTAGGACACTTTTATAATTCCCTACCTGGTCTCTTTTTTGTATCTGGCAATTAAGAATGTCAGTGTAATTCACCCAACATTTCTCATTCTTTTTTAACTTGGTATTAGCAGGCTTGAACTTCTGGAAGTCTTAAATCTTACAAATCTGAATAGGTGTACCTTGGCATCGACACCTTCCCAGTTTCATTCTGTTAGGCTAGTGAATTTATCCCTGCAAGCTTTGTAACACTGAAGCAAATTATGAAGATATTTGTTATTTGTCTTCTATTTCATTTTTAAAGTGTTTGCAATTTTCTTTCTCTACAAATTCGCATTTATTTTCAGATTCAGTCTATACTCTATAGTGGATTCATGCCCAAGCATATTCTTTTTTCATGCCTTTTTCGGTAATTAAGGTTGAGAGTTTTTGCAGCTTCGCTTGAACAGTGATGGCCATATCACTGGCACTGAGTATTTGTCAGACCTTGTTGAGAAGGAACGTGAAGCTCATAAACATGGTAATGCTTTTGGTTCTTCTGCATTTGGGTAGTAGCATTAGTTTAACTCTCTGCTGCTCTTTATCCAAGTCCAAGTTGTATGCTGGTATGCTTTTGCCTTAACCTGCTTAGTGTGGCCTTTGCCGTTGATCATGTTAATGTTAATTTCTTGACAAATATAAAGAGCTTTGGTTAAACCTTAGCGACTTTTATCAAAATCCTGTCTTTCTGGAATCGGATAAATGGATTTAACTTACAAAGCGCAAATAACTTGAGAAATTCCATTTGTATGGATATATCAGTTGATTAGTTTGTGATCTAGCTTGCATAACACAACTGAGTATTAGTCTCCTACAAATTGATAACATGGTTTTAAGTAACAATTTTTACCAGATGTGCACAAAGAACATCATGAAGATTCAGACAAGATCCATCTACAGGGCATTGATGAAGAATCTCAGAATATGATCAAGAAGGTTAAGCAAGCATTGGCTGATGGGGAAGGATGCAGGGTATTTGTTTTGGTTGCTTTGTATTATGTTTGTTCTCATACCTGTGATTCCATTCCCCCTGCCCCCACCCCCGGTATCCTTTTCACTTTGGGCCTAAAATATGCTGCCACTTTGGCTAACTATACGCTATAGCAGTGTCGCACCAACTGATACCTACATTGTTGCGTGCAGGTGTATGGAGTATTAGATGTCCAGCGGGTTGCTGGGAATTTCCATTTATCCGTTCATGGGTTGAACATTTTTGTTGCTCAAATGGTCAGCTCTGTTGATATTTTATATTTATAGATTTGATGAGAATACATATAACTGTTGGAAAGCATGCACTATTGCATTGAACTCTGTCCTATTGTAAGATATCTATCAGGTCAAATTGTGTAAGCAGTTGTGATCCTTAAAATTAGGGCGGTATAGTTGGAAGATGCTTAAAAGAGTTTGTTTAAGAAACTAGATCAATAACCCTCCCGATAGTGGGAGAGGTAGACAGTTCTTTCCGTCAGCTTCCAGTGTTCTATCAAGTAATATATTGGTGGTTCAAGTAAAGTGAAAGCTCTGATTCAATCAAACTTGCTACTTATTTTGAGCTTATGCATGACAAAAGGTTGATTGCTCTAAAGCTACTTTTCTGATTTTGCTTGTATTTTGATCTATGATAGTTTGTGAAAAAAAGTAGAGAGAAATTAGCAATACCATAGTAAGTAAGTTGTACAGTAAGTTTCTAGATAGTTTGTGAAACAAGTTTAGAGAAATTAGCAATACCATAGTTCCTAAGTTGGTCTGAGTGCAGAAGCTGATTTTCATTTTTATTTTAATCCATATTCTGAAGTACATGAAGTTCTATTCAAAGGTTGCATTTACAGCAGCGTTCAGAGAATAGCTTTTGAAGTAATACTTTTTCTCTTCTTCCAGAGTATTTGCTCACTCTTAGTTTCATCCTTTGGAAATGCAGATTTTTGAAAAGTCTACTCATGTCAATGTAAGCCATATCATCCATGATTTATCATTTGGGCCCAAATATCCAGGTATTCACAACCCGCTAGATGGAACATCACGAATTCTGCGTGGAACAAGTGGCACATTCAAATATTACATTAAGGTTTGTGAAGATCTAATTTAGTGTTTATTATGAATACATTGCATAGAGTGTTTCAACATAGCCTTGACCATTCTTTCTTTCTATCTTTTTCCTTTTGAACATAAGGAGCATTGACCAACTTTCTTAAAGTGGTGTAATAAACAAACTTGGGCAACTTTCTTAAAGTGATGGAAAGAACAAACTTGTATTTATGGCTGCATGCTTCTGTAATTTGATTGGATTATTTTGTGGCGTATGATATACGAACCGAACTAAAGTCCTAACCTGCATTCTTTTTCTGTAATGTAGGGACCTAATTATCTTAGTCTTCACCACGGCTAAATATCTGCAACTGTTGACCATCAGTGTGAAAAAAAAAATAGCAGATTTGTTCTTCTTTCAAAATCTTGTCCCATGGGCCAGCAGTGGCCTTTTCCACT